CAGCACTGGATAAGCTTAGCTTTGTGAATTTTAGATGAATGAATTTAAAAGTAGGGGCTAGTACCTGGTTCATAATTCAGACCTATCATCAGGAGGGACCAGTCCCTGAAGAAGGACATCATATTTGATAAAGTGGAGGGTCAGTGGAAAAGAGGAAGACCCCTAAACAAGATGGATTGGCACAGTGGCAGCAGCAATTGTCTTAACAGTAGCAGCAATGCTGAGGATGGTGCAGAACCGACTGATGTTTTCTTCTCCTGTACACAGGGTCACTATGCATTGGGACCAACTCAACAGCACCTGAACAACAATGTTTACAAAAGCAGATCACCAGGTCTGTCTTCTGCAGTACCCCTGGGTGTGTTTGAACCATCAACTTTGCTGATCCCCTTGTTCTTTGCCCACTTTTTGAATATACTCAACACTGCCTCTTCTCCCCCTCTGTACAGGCTGGAGAATTTCATCCAAGTGAGAATGCTCTGCTCTGACTAAGTGACAAAAACTGAGAACCCAATCTGTAGCTCAGACCTTTCTTGGTTGAGGTTAATCTCTCCATTTTGATTGGCTTAAGTAAAACCAGAGCATTTCATCACCTGCATCTTGTACAGATTGCCTCTCTTTTGTGACTTAATAGCACCACCCTCATGCCATTGTCTAAGTTAAAGCTCCAGACACTCATCTTGAGCTTCTCTATCTCCAACATCAAGTGAGTCACTATGATCAACTCCTCTTTGTTAAGTAGAGTTGTTAACCAGATTTCCATCATCAGTTTGGATTGTTGCTGCCTATGTTGTTGTTGTTGTTGTTGTTGAGTGCTGTCAAGTAGGTTAGTCTTATGAAAAATGGCACAGTTTTATAATTCTCTTAACTGGCATTCCTATATCTATTCTTGCCCCCTCAAATATATTTCCTTCACTGGCTGCTACATACTGTAATTTTTCTAGCCACCACCAACAAGGGAGTATCATAGTCTGCTTCAATCTTTCCTTACCTCCTCATTGCTTAGAGCCAAGTTTGAGCTCCACCTCAGATGGAAACTTGAATTTTGAGCTGCCTTTCTAGCTTTACCATGTACCACACAGCCATATACATACCCAGAGAACCAATTGCATCTTGTTTTTTCTTAAATCTATTCACTGTTTTATATCCTGGATCATCTACCTCACATACCCTCTCCCACTCTACACGCCATACTTTTTAGTGTTCCCTTAGGTAAGTCCTGGTGTGGCACTGTAGGATAAGCACTCAACCACAAGGAAGGCAGTTCAAATTCACCAGCCACTCCTAGGAAACCCTATACAGGGTCGCTATGAGTCGGGACCAACTCAATGGTGCTTAACAACTACAACATCCCTTAGGTTATAAACTCTGTGAAGGCAAGAACTCTGTGCATCATTGTATACTTATCACAAAAATAATGCTCTCTGTAGTTGCTGAACATAGGTAGAATCCAAGGATATGTTCCAAGGCCACCTCTGTGGTGAAGCTTGCCCAATACTTCTTTCCATTCTCAGCAGGATAATTGCTATCTCTTTTGTGCTTACAAAATATACCAAATACACAAGTATGTTAGTACTTAATCAGGGTGTACATATTTACTCACATATGTATCTCTCTTATTTATCTGAGTTCCTTGATAGGAGGAGGAGTGTTTTACTCACCCTAAGTACTTGTTGCCCTCGTCGATTCTGACTCGCTGTGAAACCATGTGTGTAGAGTAGGAGTACTTGATAGAGTTTTCAGGGTTGTGACCTCTGGGAAGCAAATCACCAGGCCTATCTTCTGAGAAGTCTCTGAATGGGTTCGAACCACCAATCTTTCAGCTAGTAGTCGAGTACCTAACTCTTACACCATCCAGAGACCTTTTCATCCTATGATACATAGTACATAGCCATAGTAGGTACTCCAACTGTTTTTGCATGGATTAATGAGTGTTCGCATGAGTGATGAATTACACTCATAAAAGAGGAAGGACATTTAAAAAAAAATGATTTCGTCTGGGATCATACACACACACACACACACACACACTACATCAAAGAAGAGTAAGACACACAAATGACCTTACATAATCAAAAAGTTTCAAGGATTCTGCTTGCTGAGAGACCGATATTATGCAGGCAGGCTGTCTCAAGCTTTAATTCACCTTTGTAAAACATAGTTTAAAAAGACTGTATGAGGGAACCTAGATCCAGAGGGCATGGGGGAAGGTAGCATCTCCAGTGAGCGGTATCCAATCTGTCTGGGTGGGGCTGATGAAAGGAAATGCGGGTAGGTCTCTTGTGATACAATAGTGAATAATTGTTATTAGGACTGATTGTGAGGGTTGGAAATGTAAAGGTAGACTTTTTTTTTTTCGCAAGGAGGGGAGTGATTAACTTTTCAGTCTAGGAGCGGAGGTCCCTGGGACCATCAATGGAGAAGAGCAGACAGCGGGACCCTACCAGAAGAAGCAGTGATGCCTGAGATGGAGGCAGAGACGATGACGTGGAGAGATGGAGCAGCTGGGGACTTTAGATCCAGAGAGGGAGAGGAGCTGTGTGTTGACAATTGGGGGCAGGCTTATAGTGCATATACCCTTTGGTTGGTTGATGATGCATGGAAGGGATTCTAACCATGGCAATGAAACAATATACAATAAAATGAATGTAAAACTAATGTTCTCCCATGTAAACTATCACATAATTCACAATAAAACTTTTTTTTTTTTTTTTAAAGACTGTATGGCTCATAAAATAAAAGTTAAGTTGTAAACCCATCAATTTGAAAATTTTTATCATATAAATTCTGATACATTTTGGCCTTTTATGTGCTTCTACTTTTTGTGTAGGAGCTCTGGTAGTGTAGTGGTTACGAATCGGGCTGTTAACTTCAAGATTGGCAGTTTGAAACTACCAGCTGTTCCTCGGGAGAAAGATAAGGCTTTCTGCTCCCGTAAAGATTTGCAGCCTCGAAAACCCTGTGCAGGGTCACTATGAGTCAGAACCGACTCTATGGTACTTAACAACAACAACTTTTTGTGTACATATGTTATTTTTAAAAGGCTCTATTATTTTATTACAAAAGCACTGTGATTTGTGGATGTTTTATAGAATGTTTCAGCTGATTCCTGCCTTGAGTGACCTCAGCGAAAATGAAGAAGAGGTTCCCCAATGGAATTTCAGGTACGCATATATACTGAGAGAAAAGTGGAAGAGAATATGTTCATTTGTTTTAATCAAGACTGGTTTCGGATATAATTCTATGCTGCCTGTGCCCACACATGGCTTTGGATGAATACAATTCTAGAACCTACACTTTGGTGACCACTATCTGAAGATATATGAAAGCAAAGAACATCTTCTCATGTGTTGAGAGCATTCATATTCAGTATACTTCAGGGTGGGCCGAGTCTTGCAATGAAGAGCACAGATGGTATGTTGGTAGCATCAAAATGACTTTAGAAATAAAACTGGGAAATTAAAATGTAAACCAACACATAAAAACTGGACACCTCAAGCATGTAATTGTATATTTATTTCTCTTTTTAAAGAACACTCCTTAATGTAATTCAATATACAAACTTGGTTTCACAGAATAATCCACTATATAGGACAAAGATAACCCAGGTTGTGTGTGTGTGTGTGTGTGTGCATACGTGCACATGTGCGTGGGTGTGCACATGTTGTGACACCCCTTCCCTCTATTCCACTCTTCGGGACCAACAACCAAAGGTTCTCCCTCCTTCAGACACCAACTGAAACTCATCCTGAATCTTCTATATAGAGTACACCATCCTCCCACAAGTTTTCTTCCCTTGAAACTTCTCTCTCCTAGTCTCTCTGAGGTCACCAGGAGTATGACATTCTCCATTCAGGAGGGTAAAGTGGCTTCCCCAAAGGCTGATGCCAACCTTGTTATTGTGTGGACTAGCTGACAGGAAGAACTAGTGACCCCACCCTTGGAGTCCAAGCGCAACCTCTAGTTACCATCTTGTGCAATGAGAACCAAGCAGTTGTAAGCCCAGGTCGTTTCCATCACTGGCGGTGCACAGCACTGCCTGCCAGGACACCGGACCAGCCAATAACCAAGCTTTACACAGCCCCATGTGCTTTTGTCACTTTAATTTTTAAAGACACTCTAGCATAGGTCTGTGGCTACCTAGTGTCCAACTGAGTTACATAAAACTGTACCAGTGATGCACTTGTACATATTTACATGGGTCGGAATGTTTTCCCATATTTTTAGATGAGTATATAGATCAACATGTTCACATAAGACCAAATACTTTTAATATTATTTATAACTGATTTATAAAGCTTTGAAAAAACTCACAATAGCACATGTTTACTTTAATGCTTTGGGTACTATCAGTTTAAAACCACAATCAGCACTTAAGTTATAGTCAATCCAGAAAACAAGAGACAAAAAAAATTTACAAGAATTAAGAACTGACTGATACATCCTTTATCTTTTGTTTTTAAACTAATGCATAAGTGCAGAATAAGATACTCTAGTTTAAATATCTTGTTTACAATATACATTTTTTGTTCTAGTTACGCAACAGTAAATCCCATGCTTCACATAGAAAAGCAATCCACAACATTAAGAAAAAATGTACAATTTATGAAACAAAGTAAATAAATATTAGTATTACAGAATCAGAGCTGTACATAAAAGCTGTTCATTTTTAATCATATAAAAATATGTTTTAGTGCAACCTCACATATATATTGATGCTGTTTTCCTTTACATCATTTAGATCCAAGTGTCCAAAAATGGAAAGAAATTACATTTATTACAAAGCAGATACACAAATTCTAAAATATGTACAAATTACTGCTAAAAAATGCTTATAAGAATATAAGCAAAGTAAAGAAAAGGCACAAACATCTGTACAATTTTAAAAGTACCAGACCCAATAGGTTAATTTCAAATTTTTGTTTTGGTCGGGCTCATGATGACTTGTTCTTTTACCTAATTCTCTTGATATAACAAAAGTATATATAAGAGCAAACTACTGTAATTTAGGACAGGCATGCTATCAACTTGGTTACCTCTATTTCTAGAAAAACAAAAAATGGGAAAATGTGTAAATGAAAGTCTCCATGCATCCTAGATCAATGTAATTTACTCTTTTCTGATGAAGGTTTATTGCCTTCCTCTGTGCTTGAAGAGAACTCATTGCTGCTCGGAAGGCCCAACTGTTTGTCATCCACACAACTCGTGCTGTAAAACGTGGAATGAGCTAATGCAGTCTGTGATGTACCAAAATTGTCCTTGTCACCATCATGCAGGTCCGGGTGGGTAGCTGAGGTACAAGGCTGACCTGGCTCAGGTCCACTAAAGTGTCTAATACTAGCATGTGCACTTTCCAAGGGTTTTTGTTGGGGATCCTGAATCCGCACTGGCTGGTCTGGCCCAAGCAGAGCAGCCTCTTCTGTGGCAATCCGGAGAGAGGCAATGGCTTTTGTACAAGTCTGGATATTTTCCTCCTGTTCCCTCTCTGTTGCATTTAGGCTGTCTTCTGAAGTGCTCTGTTTCATCAGTAGCAGAGGAGAGGAGGGAGTGCTAGGTGAACCAGATGACTGCAAGACATGCGAAGATCGCTTTTCGTACTGCTTAGAAATAACATAGGGATCCTTAACGAAGGCCTCCCCAGAAGCCCCTTTCTTCTCCTCGGAACCCTCCATTGGCAGAGGCAATGTGGGCGGAGGTTGTAAACCGGAAAGGGCCTGCGGCATGGAGTGAACCATTTGGATCCCACCAACTGGCACCATGGGGATAGGAGCTCGTACTTGTTGCTGAGAGTGGAGTGGAAGATGACTGAAGACATAGTCATTAGGACCCTCAGGGAAAAGGCTGGAGCCGTGATGTTCATAAGCACCTTCTTGGTCTCCATAGAGACTGAAGTAAGGAACCTGAGGTAATCCTCTTCTTAAATTCTGCACAGAGAAACAAAGAGAGTACAGTGTTCACAACCCAGGACTCTTCATTCATTTTTCACTCATCCACCCACTCCTTCATTCATTCAAAACAATTTAAAACTACTTTATTCTTGTATCACTTTTTCATTATTCATGACAGAAGCTATTTGTCTATAATTGTTGTCTATAATCTTCCAATGAATTGGTCAGCCTGTGAAAAGTTCGTTTTTGAATAGCAGTGTGATAAAATTCCGTGTGTTCTCTGCAATGATACATTTCAGTTTTGTTTGTTTCATAAGTTGTTTTTGTTGTTAGGTGACACAGTGATCCTAAGCACAACAGAATGAAACACTGCCTGATCCTGGGCCAAGGGTGAAAGGAAAATAATGGATGATTACCTGAACAAGTTTACACTAATCATAGCTTTGCTAATTCAAACAGAAGCAGCTCCAACTAGACAAAAATGTATCCATGTATGTCAGGCATACAAAGACTCATAGCAGCCCTGTACAGGGTCTTTCTGAGGAGCAGCTGGTAGGTTTGAACTGCTGACCTTTGGTTTGAAATCCAGTGCTTATCCTACAGCATCACACCAGGAGTCCAAAGATTACCATCTGTTTATTTCCTGGAAGATTTTCTATATTTTTATTATGTGTTGATGAATATAATTGGATTGACGAGTCTGAAAATTGGTGTTTTCTTTTCATTTCCTACTGAACTGAATGAATAAGATGGTGGTGGTGACCTACCACTTAGTGACTGCATTATGGAAAACGATGGTTTAAAGGAATAATTTCCTGCGAAAGAAACATGCTGAAGGCCAGTTTCTTTATCAAATCGCAAATAACGCCTATTTAGATCCTGTAGCAATGGCAATTTTTGTAAGGAAACTATGCATCAGGGAAGTAGTTAACAATATTTCAAATACTTGTAAGCAAAGATGACTGTGGTTTGATTTTTCTTTTTATATTATCGTTCCCACTTAAATATCATCTTGCCTATTGAGGAATTAAAAATAACTTAAAATTCTAGGCCAGAAATCCAGATTTCATAGTGTTATTCTTAAAAACGTAGTACTAATTTTCTAGACTTGTTTGCATAACTAGCCAGAACTTAGAAATACACTGTAAGTTTATGACATTTTAAGGACTGAAATTCATTCTCTTAATAGATAGGCATGTAAAGAAAACATGGATTTTTTAAAAAAAATTTTTTTAGAATTTAAAATATGATATTAATAAACCTATCAAGGATGGTAGCAGTCCAGGAGAGAGACAGACAAATATTTTACTTCAAGGGCATTTTGGTTCTAAAATTCAAAGTGTGTTCTATAGTATTAATGATGCAGCCAGTTCTATTCAGGTTTTAAAACTGGTTCAGGATCTATAAATGATGCATTATCTTTGTTACCTTGAGCCACACTTGACCTTTATCCTGCTCTGGGCTATACCTTATGCAAGCTAAAAAACAAATGACTTCCCTGGAAGTGGGAGAGAAATTAATATAATCACAAGGAGTTCATAAGCTAGGAAAGACCAGGCAGAATTTTATGATACTAGAGAGACCATTTAAATGCCACAAAAGAGCCCTGTTGTGTTCCCTCGATTTAGAAAAAGTGATGTCCCGTTCATCAAACACCAGCTGAAATGGGAAAAATAAAATTCATGCACTAATAATCTTTGAAGATAATCAAATTTATGATTTTCATTAGTTATCAATGCCTCAACATTTTAAATAAAATGTGCTTTGGTTGTTTTTCCATTTCGATTTTGGTGGTTATCCAATGATGTCCCATCACATACACCTAATCAGAATGGTCATCCTTGAGGTTGGAACCAAGTGAATGAAGCAACATCAGGCCATGGGGAAAGATGCTTCAGTACATGAAATTACTTAAGATCCTTCACTCATGACTAGAAATGGAGTGATGAATTAAACTTCTAAAACTAAATTGTTGTTGTTAAGTGCCATCGAGTCAGTCCGACTCATAGTGACCTCGTATAGGGTTTTTGAGCCTTTAAATCTTCACGGGAGCAGGAAGCCTCATCTTTCTCCTGTGGAGTTGCTGTCAGGCTCAAGCTGTGGACCTTGTGGATCACAGTCCAGTGCTTGTTGTATGGAGCCACCGCGTTCCCTAAAACTAGGATGTATTAACTAAATTCTAAATTCCATTAAATTTTATTTGTGTTAAGAATAAAAGTTTCACATTCAGATCTCTACTGATCAGTAATCAAATTACAGCCGCAGAGCTAAATGGACATGTAGAATCTACCATTTACCATGTCTACTGATTCAAATACCTTCCCCACATTCTCTCTTCTCCCTTTCACCCCTTCTATACTCTGTAAACACAATCTCAATACTTCTTGACTTTGGTGTTTACTCCTTTTGTAATCCTATTCTGTTTCCTAATTTTGATTTTATCATAATGTGGTAGACAAACTCTCATCATACATAAAACTCAGTAAGAAAAATCATGATACTGAAATGTGAATAATGATTTCAGTGTGGATTGTGTTAAATACATATGTCTACATATAGCTGTAGCTATGCAATTGTTCGTGGCTGCCATTGAGATGTACCCCAGGTACAATGGAATGTAGCACTGCCAGCCCTGCATCAGAACCATAATTCTGATTTTCACTGACTGATTTTCAGAAATACATCTCCAGATTTTTCTTCCTGGTCTAAATCTGAAAGCTCAACTGAAACTTGTCCAGAATCAGAGGAACATGCCATCCTCTGCTGACACACAGGTGGTGGCTGTATATGAGGTACATTGGGTCCAGAACTCCTGCATTTGGCCTTCTATGTACAAGTATAGCTGTAGCCATCTGTCCCAGGTATCAGATAGAATAGCCACTCATCTTTGGAACCGTGTGTCAATAGCATTCTTTGAGGAGCAAACACTGGGAAGAAGCTAGGAGTTTGGTGGGTTGGGTGCATGGGTGGGGTTAATTTAAAAGGGAAAAGGGAAAGGAAACAGAACTCATCTGTGACTGATGCAGACTTAGTCATAGATTGGAGCTTCTGGGACGACCACAGCCTCAGCTTGAAAGTGGAGTCCCATCCTGAAGGTGCTAACGGCAGGGGATGGTTGGCTTACCATCCTCCTCACAGCTGAAAGTCAAGTTCTGTCAGGGAGGCAAATTTGCATGGCTCACCCTGCCACAAAGATTAAGACCCAGGAGCTTAATTTGTTTTGCCCAAGTTAGTTTGATCTACCTAAGATCACTCAGATAGCAAGGGAGGGAGCTGAATGTGGATTAGCTCACTGGATCAATGTCCATCTGCACTACCTACTAAGGACTCCTCCCCAGACCTGCTCCCAGGCTATCACTCCAGACTGAGTCAGAAAATGATCATGTTTCCTGATGGACTCTAGCTCCATCCATGTCATTGTCACTGTCCCAGGACCCAAGTCAATGTTAAGCAAAGAGTCAAAGTGCTGCTAATAAAATTTCTAGCAGAAAAGGATTCGTTTTCTTTTTTGTGTGTTAATATATCCACTTAATGTTCTCTTAAATCACTGGTATAGCTGTATCAATATTTCCATTTAATATTTCAGAGAAGATGAAGTCACCATCTAATATAACAATCAGGAGAAATCCTTGTCATAGCATTGCCAACTTGAGTTTACATCGGGCAATGAAAATCTTGCTTACACACAGAAAAGCATAAATCTTTCTCTGGCCCTCAGAATGTTCTGATAAAGCATCAAATGGTGAGTGTTTGGAACCAGTAGTTCCTGTTTCATGGATGATTACAGACAAAGTTCCTTATTTCATGTGAGCAAATCTGCAGGCTGCAGAGTCTCTAAAGAGAATGAAGCCTCAGAATAGACCAAAAAGTCAGAGTATGCTCAAGAAAATGGTCAACTTTGGCAACTATTAAAAATTTAGGTAAAATGGTTAACAACAACAACAACAACAACAACCAATCTCTGCTTCAAACTCAGGGACTACTAAAGTCCATCTCCTTCCAGCAACAACTTTTTGGCATACAAGAGGCTTCCAAAAGTTTGGAGAAAATGGAATTTAAAGATTTTTTAATGAACTTTTTGAAACCCTCTTGTGTATCCAAAAAGCAGATGAACTCCCTAGTTCACCCCTTCCTCTGCTCAAGCTCACTGTCCACTGATATTTTCATTGTTGTTGTTGTTGTTGTTAAGTGCCATCGAATTGGTTCCGATCCATAGCGACCCTGTACAGGGTTTCCGAGGGTGTAAATCTTTACGGGAGTAGAAAGCCTCATCTTTCTCCCGCGGAGCGGCTGGTAGTTTCAAACCGCTGACCGTAAGGTTCGCAACCCAATTCGTAACCACTATGCTACCAGAGCAGTGTATTTATACTGACAGTGGATTTTTCTAGCTGCAATTGACTGAATATGTTCCAATATCTTACAAATACCTTAGTGTCAATACACCTGGTCAATGCTGGAGCAAAAGCTGAAGTGAGGACATGGTGTCACATCATGTCATATGGAGGGCCCTCACTATACCAAAGATAGCACGTCATACCCTAGACATGGTAGCCTGCAACCCAAAGAACATACAACTCTCTATGCTGCAATGACAGACACTGCAAAAAAATGCCTATTTCCACAGTAACAGCACCATGAAGACGAAAGCGGTACCAGGCTTGTGAAAACAGCATGTTGGGGGGGCAGGAGAGTAGAATGCAGCAGGGAGCTCTCTAAAGTTAAAAACAACAACTTAAGCTATTGACGAAGGCTGGTCAAAAGTAGACGGGAGGAAGAGCTCAACTAGAAGAAGAAAGAAGAGGGAAAAAAAGAGTAATCTGATACAATTTGATGAACTTGACCTACACCTATGGATGCAGTAGCTCAAAAGAGGGAACAAATCTTTACAGCAAGAACCATTCCCACCCCCTCCACACACAGAGTAGACAGGGATGGGTAACTTGGACACTGGCTACCCAAAATGGGGGGGGAGGGTAGCTACAAAGGCAAGAAGTGATTGGCTTATAAGCTTTCAAGAGGGAACCTAGATCCAGAGGGCGTGGAGGAAGGCAGAATCTCCAGTGAGTAGTATCCAATCTGTCTAGGCAGGGCTGATAAAAGGAAATGAGCATAGGTCTTTTGTGATACAATACTGAATAATTGTTATCAGGACTAATTGTGAGGGTTGGAAATGTAAAGGTATATGTTTTGTAGCAAGGAGGGGAGTGATTAACTTCACATCTAGGAGTGGAGGTCCCTGGGACCATGAAGAGAGAAGACTGGAGAGTGGGACCCTACCCAGAGAAGCAGTGGTGCCTGAGATGGAGGCAGAGACGATGACGTGGAGAGATGGAGCAGCTGAGAACTTTAGACCCAGAGAGGGAGAGGGGCTGTGTGCTGACGACCGGGGGTGGGGGGGCAGGCTTGTAGGATATACCCTTTGGTTGGTTGATGATGCATGGAGTGGATTGTAACCATGGCAATGAAACGATATACGATAGGATGAATGTAAACCTAATGTTCTCCCATGTAAACTATCACATAATTCACAAAACATTAAAAAAACAAAAATGTCGATGAGAGGAAGAGCTCAATTAGAAGAAGAAAGAAGAGGAAAAAAAGAGTAATCTGATACAATTTGATGAACTTGACCTACACCTATGGATGCAGTAGCTCAAAAGAGGGAACAAATCTTTACAGCAAGGATCATTACCTCCCCCTCCATACACAGAGTAGGCAGGGATGGACAACTTGAACATTGGCTTCCCAAAGTGGGGGTTTGGGGGCTGGGGCGTGCTACAAAGGCAAGAAATGACTGGCTTACAAGCTTTCAAGAGGGAACCTAGATACAAAGGGCATGGAGGAAGGTAGAATCTGCACTGTGGAGTATTCAAGGTGGGGCTGATTAAAGGAAATGCGGATAGGTGTCTTGTAATACAATAGTGAATATTTGTTATCAGGACTGATTGTGAGGGTTGGAAATGTAAAGGTAGATGTTTTGTAGCAAGGAGGGGCGTGATTAACTTTGCAGTCTAGGAACGACGGTCCCTGAGACCATCAAGGGAGAAGAGCAGAGAGCGGGACTCTACCCAGAGAAGCAGTTTCACCAGAGATGGAGGTAGAGACGATGACGTGGAGAGATGGAGCGGCTGGGGACTTCAGACCCAGAGAGGGAGAGGAGCTGTGTGCTGAGGACCAGGGGGCAGGCTTGCAGGGTTGATTGGTGATGCACGGAGGGGATTGTAATCATGGCAATGAAATGATATACAATGGGATGAATGTAAAACTAATGTTCTCCCATGTAAACTATCATATAATTTACAATAAAACATTAAAAATATAATAATAAAAGTAGATGGGAGGAAGAAACATGGCACTAGGGCTGGGAACTTGGAATCATCAGTTCATCCCTTGGCTGCAGAGGATAGTTTTGATGTACAGGAGGGAAATCCAGGGAAAGAGTACGACAAAGAAATCAAGAGATCCAGTTAAAGGGAAACAATTAAACATTTTTAAAATTCTAATCAAATTACAAGAGACATCAGTGTCTACTGGGCCATGGAGAGAGGCAGAGACCGAGTGTATTTCCAGGGAGGCACATTAAACATACAATTCACACTTATTCCATGATGGCTACCATTAAGTTGTCATGAAGTCATGATCATACAAATCCCCTTTGCTCTCCTGGCTTCTCTTCCTTTAGACCCACGCTCTCATTTTGCTGTTCACTCAGCAAGTTCTCTGAGGAGTAGGAAGTGGTAGGAATGACAAGAAATAACAGATATGTTTATGCCTTTGATCTACAAGCACAATCAGTTCCTCACTAGTTTCATACATCCACTCACTGTGGGAAAGGAAATAGTTTATTAGAAAAAAAAAAAAAAATTTCAAGGATAAAGATTGAGTTGGAATCCTTCCCTAGCAAAAAGGTATACAAATGACACCTAAGTGGGCTCTGTGGATATCTGTGCATTCCTATAATTCCAAAGGCTTCACTGTTTTAATTATGGGAAGGTTTCCGTTCATGTCTATAATTAGTTTGGCTTAAAAAGGCATTTATGAAGGCCTCACCTGTTACTGAGCTCTGATGTAATACCACACTTGGGGCAAAACCACAGCCTGTTCAACTCAAAAGCTTGTGATAAACATGTCTTTCTGCTAATCTCTGCAACCAATTTTACCCCTGGCCATGAGAAATACCCATGTTGTAATAAATGCCACACTTTGACATCTATATTTAAAAGAGAAAGCTGTTTATACTTACAGGAGGCCCCAATACAATTGGCTCTGTTTGCAAATACTGTCCCACAGATAATGGTGCGTTATGGTATAAAGCCCTTCTGGGTGATGGTGCTCTGATGGTGGTCATGTATCTTCTCTCTCTTCTGGGGGAGAGGTCTCTTCTCGCACCGATATCTTTCCCAGGTGACAGTGGCCTCCTTGGGGACAAATGTCTTCTTGGGGAAACATCTCTTTGTGACATCTCTCTTCTTAATGCAGCTTCTTTTCTTGGTGAAAGATGCCTCATGGGTGACAGATCTCTCCTGGGTGACAAATGTCTTCTGGGTGATAAATCTCCTTTGGGTATCAGATACCTCTTTGGTGAGTTATCTTGACAAGGTGAAGAATCATATCCTGGTGAGGAATGACGGCTTGAGGGCGAGAAGTCCCTTGGCGAGGAGCTTGGCTCTGAAGACAGCACATACTCTTCTTCCATACAGCTAGGTATGTCTAACCTGTCTTTGTCTGGTTCCGAGTCTGTACTTTTGCTCTGGAATAACCTCTGATATTCTGTCATCTGGGTATCTTCACACGAGTCACTTGGTGTCATAAGCTGAGTAACCTGAATACTTGGCAAAGTAACCAAATAACTAATCAATGAGGAATGTCCCAAGGAACCATCTGAAGGAACCCCATGGGGCACAGCGCCAACATTCACAGGCAAGGAGGAGAACCTAGGAGGCTGGGGACTGGTGCTTCTTGATCTTGTTTTGGGTGTCAAATCTCCCTGGTCATCAAAGTCATCATCATCTTCATCATCATCATCATTGTCATCCCCATCCTCGCCATCTGATTCCTCAGCATCTGAAAACTGATGATCGGTCGAAATGCTGGACATGCTGTTCTTCTCAGTTGCTTTGTGCAAATCTTCCATATTTTCTGAAATGGTGGAATATGGATAGTGAAGATTAGATCCAAACATCATGGTTAGGAGCTAATTAATCCCCATTTTTTTGTCCCAAAGACGTTCTCAGTTCTCCAGCTCCAACTAATAGTTCTGTCTCTGGGTTCCTACCATACTCATTGGCAATAGTCTGTCTGCATGACTGTCTTTCTATGGACTTATCTGGTATCATCTTTAACCTACTATAAAACTCCTTTATATGACTTTATATCTCATCCCTACTCATAGAAAATCCTTAAGAAATGGATAAAGCTGATGTTGTTCACGAAGATGGTAGAGGAAAAAGATAAGCAACAACCTGTCTTTAAAGCTACAAGTACAGATGTAGACACAAAAACCAAACCCAACCCTGTATAACAGACTAGGACTGTTCTGTAGGGCTTACACGGCTTCTGAAGTTTTGAACCACCAACCTTACAGTTAGCAGTCCAGTGTTTATCCTACAGCACTTCACCAAGACTCCTTTAGGTTAACAGTCTAGTGCAAATTGTGCCATCCAAGGACTTAAGCTACACATGCTGTTATTAAGTGCCTTCGAGTCAGTTCTGACTCATAGCAACCCTGTCTACGGTTTCTGAAGAGCGACTGTTTGATTTGAACCACTGTCCTGGTGGTGCAGTGCATTATTCTGTAGCACCACACCAGAACTATATATAAGTAGTGTTTATCAGATCAGATTGAGCTCAATTTTCTATTGCTGTCTATGATAGATTTTTTTTTCTTAGTAGGTTTCACTTTAATATGAATAATAGTGTATTAAAATATTATTATTTTTTTTAATTTCCAAAATAATGTCATAACATTTAAATCACCAGCACAATACCAATGGAATTAGATTTACTTCATGGTTCTAGATGAAAGTATTCCCATAACAAGGCCACTTCCCCCTCAATCGTAACTCAAATAGATTTCAATGTGTCAGATTTCTTTTCTATACTTGTTACTGCTGTTGAGTCCGTACCAACTCATAGCAACCTTGTATAGGTTTCTGAGGCTATAAATCTTTGCAGGAGCAGAAAGCTTAATCTTTCTCTCGAGTAGAGGTTGGTGGACTCAAACCACCGACCTTGAGCTTTGCAGCCCTGTGCTTATCCTACAGAGCCATTTCACTGCCATGTCCATACTGTGTATTTAGTAAAATCAAAGCTCATCAGTTTTGAGAAAAAGTCCTTGTCACCTTAGCTCCAGAGCTTCTGAGCGCTCAGTGAAGAGGCCTGCCACCTCAGCTCTGACATACCTGCTTCCTCCGTTTCTGTGTCATCCACAGATGTCATTGAGACTCCCAACTCCAAGCATTTTTTCATGTGTGCTTTAGATTTCATATGCTTCGTTAGGTTCCCTAGCAACATAGCCAAAGAAAAGAGAGAGAGAAAAAAACTGGTCACCAAAATGTGATCATTCCAAAATTCAATGCTAAAATAGCTTATCTAATATAACACAATTTCCCACCCCCCCTAAAATTATCCTTCTTCAAACTTAAAAGGAACAATCTGGTTTCTAAAGATATAAACTCCTGTGAGCTTCTGCCCAACCTTAGGTTTCCTTTATTCTAGAACACATGTGGAAGATGAGGGTCACATCTTTTTGGGTGCAGGCCCTTTTGCCTGAAAAGGGACCATTTAATATCTTTGTTTGGCCTGAGTAAGGCAGCCTTCTGACTCTTTGTATAAACAGAGAGCCAGGTCACATACCTCAAAGACACTTCACAATGGAATATTCCCATTAGCATACCCTCTCAGCCCAGACCTTAAAGCAGCAATTAGATATAGATCAACACCCGTGGGTCGTCACTCGTCTGAAGAAAAAAATGTGTAAACTAGTGGGAAATGTCAAATGAATTCAATTGGATTCAAAGATTTTTGCAGATACTCTGTTAGCTACCTATGTTGTTGTTTTAAGTGCTGTCAAGTCAATTCTGACCCATAGCAACCTTGTAGAGGTTTCCAAGGGGTAGCTGGTGAGTTTGAACCCCTGACCACATAGTTCAAAGTGACTCTGCAGTCCAGCGCATTAACCCACAGTACCAACCAAGACTCCTATTGTTATTGTGTTGTTGTGAAGTGCCATCGAGTTGGTTGCAACTAGGACCTATGCAACAGGGTGCCATAGGACCCTGTATCAGGTTTCTAAGGAGCTGCTGCTAAGCTTGAACCGCCGACCTTGCAGTTCAAATGGCTTTGCAATCTGGCGCACTAACCCACAGCGCCATAACAGGACTCCACACATATAAATATATATATATATATTTCTACAGATTTGCATAATATGACATTAAAATTCTGACACTAATTCAATAACCTTGGACCTAGGATTTACAAAGTTATATGTTATTGTGTGACATAGCACTTATCAAAAGAGATCCAAGAACCAATTCTACCATTAACCCTTTCCATCCTCTCCAATGGAAAAGGTCATGTTCTTATTTGTGCCCTTTGATAGTGCTTTTGCAATGCATCAACAAATGTTTTAATATTTAAAAGTTGGCTCACTCAAATCTGAGTGGAAATTCTTAAGTCTGCTCAACTGATTAGATACCTTATGTTGTTGTTGTGAAGTGCTGTAGAGTCGATTCTGACCCATAGTGACCCTGTACAGGGTTTCCAACGAGCAGCTGATGAGCTTGAACCATCAACCTTGCAGTTCAAATGACTTTGCAGTCTGACGCATTAGCCCACAGCGCCACACCAGAACTCCTTGTTGTCTTATGTTGTTGTTGTTGTTAAGTGCCGTCGAGTCGGTTCCCACCCATAGGGGCTCTGAACAGGGTTTCCGAGGCTGTAAATCTTTACAGGAGCAGAAAGCCTCTGCTAACCGTGCAGTTTGCAGCCCAATTTGTAACCACTACGCTACCAGAGCTCCTTTCGTTCTCTTATGTTGTTGTTGTTAAGTGCCATCGAGTCGGGTCCGACCCATAGCGACCCTGTACAGGGTTTTCGAGGGTGTAAATCTTTACGGGAGTAGAAAGCCTCATCTTTCTCCCGCGGAGCGGCTGGTAGTTTCGAACTGCTGACCTTAAGGTTCGCAGCCCGATTCGTAACCACTACACTACCAGAGCTCCTTTTCGTTCTCTTATAGGGGTGCTTAATTTAGCATTGCTGTTGCTGTTGCTAAGTATTGTTGAGTTGGTTCTGACTGACAGAGAACCTGCATAGGGTTTCCAGCGATTGACTGGTGAGTTTGAACTGCTGACCTTGTGGTTCAAACTCACCAGGTGATCCCATGCTTTATTCCTCAGGACCACATTCGGACTTCTAGTTTAGCATTATGAACCACACTTCTAAATTGGGGCGTTGTTTGTTTTTGTCCTTAGTTTTTACTTTTATTTCTTACTTAATGTGCTGTTTATTCCTTATATACCTATGAATTGTACGTACTAGCTTGATATCCAAAAAGAAAAGGCAAACCCAGTGCCACTGGGTCAATTCTTACTCATCGCAACCTTACAGGGTAAAGTGCAGCGCTCCACAGAGTTCCCAAGGCCGGAACTCTTTATGGAAGCAGACTGCCCACAGTTTCCCTCCCCCACATCCGCAGGGTACAACTGGTGGGCTTAAACCTCTCAGTTAGCAGTCCTACACTTAACCCACTTCTTGATAACACCAAATGTAGAATAGCTCCAGGCTCTCCATGTCGTTATTTTTCAAAGAATTGTATCCATATATTTGTTAACGAGATAAAACATTTTTATGGGCACATCCTCAAGAATTTAAAAATCTATAAATTAGTGAAACCAGTTAACTAGTTAACAGTGCTGACTCATGGTGATCACATAGGTGAGAGAGCAGAATCGTGCGTCATAGGATTTCTAGTGGCAGATTCTTCTTCTGAGGTACCTCTGGGTGAACACAACCCTCCAACTTTACGGTTGGCAGTTGAGTATGCTAATCATTTGAAAAATCCAAGGACCCCTACACTATGAAGTATGCAAAGGATCTGAAGGATCTAAGCACTGGACTATGAACCAGCTCAGCAGTTTGAGCTTACCAGCCACTCCTCAAGAGAAAGATGAGACTTACTGCTCCCACAAAGATTTATAGCTTTGGAAATCCTGTTGTTGCTATGTGCCATCAAGTCAGTTAGGATTCATAGTGACCTTATGCACAACAGAACAAAACACGGTCCAGTCAGTCACCATCCTCATACGTGCTACTACGTTTGAACCCATTGCTGCCGCCACTGCGTCAAACCATCTTGTTGAGGTCTTCCTCTTTTTCAATGACCCTCTACTTTACAAAACATGATGTGCTTCTCCAGGAACTGCTCCCTGCTTATGACACGTCCAAAGTATGAGAGACCAAGTCCCACCATCCTGGCTTCTAAGGAGCATCCCAATTGTACTTCTTCCAAGAGAGATGTGTTTGTTCTTTTGGCAGTCAACAAGATTTTCTATATTCTTCTCTAACATCATAATTCAAATGCATCACGTCTTCTCCAGTCATGCTTATGTACTGTTCAACTCTCACAAGCATATGTTGTTGTTGTTGCTGCGTTCCCTCGATATTCCAACTCATATCAACCCTATGCACAACAGAACAAAACACTGCCTGGTCGCACGCCATCCTCACCATTGTGGTTACACTTGAGCCCATTGCTGCTGCCACTGCATATGAGGTGAATGAAAATATCACAGCTTGGTCAGGCACACCTTAGCCTTCAAACTGGTATCTTTACTCTTTAATACTTTACAGAGGTCTTGTGCAGCAGATTTGCCTAATGCAATACGTGCTATGAGTCAGAACCAACTCAGAACACTTAACAACAATCACCACCTATAAATTAATAGAAATGATCGGTCTGCAAGGATAGTAAGCTGCATTATGCGTATACGTGTTTATGCTAGGTGTTGGGGTAATTGATTACACAATCATAATGTGTGTAGTCAGGCTTTGAGCTTTCATCTGTAAAGTATATGTGTGATTGAAAATACTAATCTAAAGAAATTCCATATAATTCCATTCTGGCTTTGATTCTTTAAAGTCATGTGCTTCTGGAGGGCTTGGGAAGAGGGCCGTGGAAAAAGGCAGCAAAGGGAAAAGAGGTTAAAGTGGTACAGGAAAGAGGTTAGTTAGTCTAATACATGCAGCATTCTCCACCAGAGCTTCAGATCACGTGGATTTGGACAACAGGCTTCTCAGCTGGAACTGAGAACTGGGAGGATTTCCCAATACACTTTGCTCATTTTAAGATTCTGAGATATCTGCACATTTCCAAAGGGTGACAAGGAAACTCCAATAATGACTAAGAGTCAATTAATTCCTGCTAGAACTCTAGGACACTGGTTAAGAGCCAAATTTAATCTGATTTTTTTTTAAAAAATCTAAAAATGTACCATTTCTTGTTCACCCTGGTTTATCTCAGAGCTCTACCTACAGCCAACTCTATGCCCAGTGCTTAGATATCATTTGTAATTCCTGATGAACTTGTAGTGCTTCCAGAAAACCAGAGTTCACGTTTTCTTATCTCCCAGGGAAGATCACTGTAAAATTCCATATAGAAGACTTGATTGTTGCAAGATGGATAGCATTAAAAATAGCTTACACTTATTTCTTTTGTAATGCAAAAGAACATCACCTCTACCACCACTTCATTGGGCATGAAAGAGGTGTGTCTTAATACAGACAACTTTTTAATGAAAAAGAATCGGGTATTAGAAATTACATATTTACCCTTTGACAAATTAGTGAAACTGTTTAGGATTTTTGACTAAAGTGTAGGTCTTTGCTTAAGAGAAGATAGTTACACATTTCTCTGTCAAAGGTGACTTTGTTGTTGTTGTTGTTAAGTGCCATCAAGTCGGTTCTGACCGATAAGGACCAGGACCCTGGATAGGGTTTCTGAGGAGCGGCTGGTGAGCTTGAACCGCCAACCTTGCAGTTCAAATGGCTTTACAGTCTAGTTGGTATTTATTTGTTGTAACAGGCATTGATTGGAACAGATTCACTGGTATGCACACTTAAAATGAAAAGACTGGAAGTGATGGGAGATTGATGCAGGGGTGCCTGTAGCATTCATTAGAGCTAACAGAACACATAGTTCAAGCCACCTCCCATCTCTTACTTTTTATATTCTGAGAACAATGGGCTGCTAGACATTTTCATATTTTTATAAAGTGATAGAATGATAACTGAAGCATCCTTATGATTAAAAAATATTTCTATTAATTGATTGTTAGGAACAGATTCTTAAAAAAAAAAAAAAAGATAGAATATCATTCCAAGGCAAGTCTTTATTTTATGAGATTAACAATATGGGCTCAGAGTAAGAAATTGTTTCTGTGCAGATAAATACACGGGAACTGAAGCTATCAAATTTCTATGCATAATTAATGCAGCTGAGGATGGAGTGGCCCACCTGGGAGTCTGTGGATCTCTACATTATTTATGAACTTGAAACTGACCATGGGCACACATTTTCTTCCCAGCTGCTGCCTTGCTTTTCTAATACCACTGCATGCAATGCCTACCTGTATCATTTCAATGCTGGTGCAAATACAAATTAGACTGCATAACATTTCCAACATGAAGTAATAGCGATACAGGCAATTCTTAGCTACTTCCTTTGGAGACAACGGGCCTGGATGCTACTTCCTTTGGAGACAACAGGCCTGGATGTAAGCGTATAGCTCTTAATTAAGTCATAAAAGGAGCCTCATAGTCTCACATACATCCTTTGATCACTTTGATGAGGGAGAAAATACATTTGGTGGAGTCATATTTTCACAAACAAAACCATCTTATTTTCGATGGATGTCAGATCCAGAACAGTCCTCAGACTCTTAAGTAGCCAGGATAAAAGCATCTTTCCTCGGAAAAAGCCCAGCCCCGTACCTTTTGTTTTGAAGGCAAAGTTACATAACTTGCATACATAAGGCCGGACATCAGTATGAGTGCGAATATGTTTTTTGAGCATGCTTGGCTTCTTACAGCGAATCCCACATTCTTCACAAATGTACTTTCCACGTCCACGTCCTCTAACATACACATAGTCCTCATTTGATTTATACCTGTTACAAAGGGAAAGGATACATATGCTTTGAATATATTATGTATGAAACCAAAAGCTAACCATTTGCATGGTAAATTACTATTAGGGTCTCTTACAAACAAATATCCAGCGTTACTTCTATACAGCAAATGCCTGAAAGAGCTAGACAACAGGGATCCAGATTTGGCATTGTGAACAGAACGCCATTCTTTCCACAAATTACATTTGGCTAAGCTTTTTTAAAAAAAATTTTCCCAGAAAAACACGGGGTTCAAAATGGAATTTGCTTGTGGGTACTGCACTGGGCTGCAAAGTTGATTTGAATCACATGGTCGGTGGTTCAAGCTCACCAGTCACTCCTTGGAAAACTAGTTTAGGGTCACAATGGGTTGGAACAGACTCAAAAGGCACTTAACAACAACGACATCGTCAAGTCTAAATATGTAGATTCAGGATCTATATTTTACAATGAGCTTGTATCATCAGTAAGTGGCAGACTCCTACAACTTTTCGCTTTTATTGTAGTCGCCAGTTAAGAGATATCAAAAGACATACGTACACATTCAAATGATCACATTCTTTATTACTACTACATCATCTAAGATGTCAGATCCAGAACTCACACACACACACACACACACACACACACACACACACACACCCCTACATTTGATAAAATAAGTATGACTGACAACAAGTGTCTATTCCATTTTTACAGTCCTGACACATGCGTGCCTCAGAAAACTTCTCACTTACACTTGCAAAGTCGACATATCGACTGTGGTCTAAAGATTTGATCGGTCCTTCCCAGGGCCGTGAATCTGCTTTACAGCGGAGTCTAAATTTGGTCTAGCTTCCTGGAGGTAATGTTACATAATAAAGCTAGAGATTCTATTTTTCAATCAGATTTGCATATCTTTGTGGAAGCATTTCATAGAGAGGTTTGAAAGAATATCTGAGGTCATCTAAAACCCAAACCAAATCTATTGCTACTGAGTTGCTCCTAACTCAGAGTAGTTCTATAGCAGAGTAGAGCTACCCTGACAGGTTATCAAGGCTGTAACTCTTTAGGAAATCCAACTGCTATGTCGCTTCACAGGGAGCTGGGTTAGCAGCTTCTGGGTTAGCAGTCAAAACCCTTAACCACTGCCACCATGATCCCTTTTCTTAGGTCACCTGGTTTAATCAAATAAGCAGGATGAAGAAAGTTTTAGCCATTCATTATGATGCCAAGGGACTAAACTCACCCAGTACTCAATCATCACAGGATCTCTCATAGAGCACAGGAGCATTCGGCAGTCTAGACTAGACTTAGGTGTCTAGTGTCATTGTTGAAAAGATATTCCTTTGGAAGGGCTCTTTTTATTTTAAAAAGTAAACTGACATGCAAAATGTCCTAATTCTCTGTGGATTTATCAAAAGGCATTATATTTGTACTTTCGTTATAATTATTATTATTATTATTTTGCTTTCTCTCTTTATAGTCCAAAAGCATGGCACCATCTCCATTTTTTCCTAGTAAATCTGTCATCAGGAATGAAAGCAAGTTCAGTTTCAATTGTCCAAGTGTTTCAAGAACTAATTCTGCTATGGGTGCTATTTAACCTGAAAATTATCTGCTTCTGTGTCATTATTTATCACGGTGAAAGTTAAGTAGGATAAAAATGATTAATTATCAACTTGGTAGGCCTTTTCCTTCTTTAAAATTTCCTCCTTTCACAAGAAATTTCTAACTTCAATTTTTTTACTCATAACTATTTTGAAGTTTGTATTTTATCTTACATTGTCTTTTATAATAGAGCAGAAAAAAAACTTGAGATACAAAATATCTTTCACCTTTCAATTTTACTATTCTCTCTCCCTAACTAGGTGAAATTGTCTAAAACTATAGAATAAAACAAATGATTTTATATGAATCTAACTTTTCTTCAAGATTATGGCACATCATCATACTTTATGGAGTACATCATCCTAATTTATGGAGTATATACCGCATCTTCAAATATTATCTCTATTTTTAATATCTTAGCTAAGTAATTTTCCTCCAGAATGAAAATACAGTAAAATTATTTATAAAAATATAACTTCATATTAAAGAAATCTATATAAATAAAGTTTTGTTCCATAAAACTCCTAGTGCAGTGCTATAGGATCAGGGCTGGACTGCAAACCACTGGATTGGCAGTTCAAATCCACCAGCTGCTCCTTGGAAACCCTATAGGGTCATTAGGAATTAACAACAGGAGTTCTAGTTGATAGGAGAATGAATGGATTTTGAAGAATAACTAGAATATGTTTAGCTAAATTACTATACCTATAAATGAGATGTTAAATAGAAGACTTCAAAGTAAATAAGTAAGTAAATAAATAAATAAATAAGATGGCCTGTAGTAGCAACCAGCAGAAGAAGATGTGATCATATACTACGTGAAATGAACAGCTGGCCACCACCAGGTTGAAGATGCATCACAGATTAAAAATGATTGTTGTCTGGCCCATAACAGTGCAGGGAATAAAAGGAGGAGGAAATGAAATGTGGCCACAGTCTTGTCGGAGCATCAGAACATAGCCACAAAATGTTCACATACGCTTTATCAAATTGTGTTCTTCCTTAGTGGAGTTAGGCCCCCGAAAGCACATCGTAACTGTGACGGCCTAGTTAATCTAGTGGTACAATGGCAGTGCTATGAAGAAGCTGCTAAATGCAAGAGTGTTGATTCAGTCACAGGGATCTCAGTCTCTGGGGAAAGACAAAAGCTCTATTTCTCTCATTTGTGTTAAAAGTTGAGGGATGACCAAAAATATTCATTAACTCAAGCTTCACAGACTACATACCACTGTGGTTTTTTATGTTGGAAGTAACACGTCTCCAAAGGGAAAAAAATCTGAGGGAACAACTGTAATACTCCAGCTCCAGCATGGTCAAATTATGTGAGAAACAGTCAACATTTTATAGTCAAGCAAGCAACATTCTTTTGTCCTCCAAAGGTAATTGGAATACATTCATGCTCAAGAAAACGTATAAATGATGGCTCTATTAGAGAGATGCTGTTGGCGTTGCTGTTAATTGCCTTGTAGTCAGTTCTGACTCAAAGCGGCCCTGTACAGGCTTTCCAGGGAGCGACTGGTGGGTTTGTATCGCCAACCTTGTGGTCAGCAGTTCAGTGTCTATCCTACAGTGCCACACCAAGACTCTACAATAGAGATAAAATTTGTTGTTGTTAAGTGTCATTGAGTTGGTTCCGACTCATCGCAACCCTGTATATGGTTTCCAAGGAGTGGCTGGTGGTGACTGAACTGCCAACTTTGTAGTTCAAACCGACCTTGTGGTCCAGTGCATTATCCTGCACTGCTACACTATATACTACAAACTATAAAGCTAGTTTGGCCATAATCCTCAAAATGTGGCTAATGTGTTTAAGTGTTTGTTTTGTTTTAGAAAGCATATGTCTGGGTGTCTCCTTCCATGTGGATCGGATTGAAGACACATTTATAGACGCTGTTATGTGCTGTGGAGTCGGTTCCTACTTATAGCAACCCTGTACAGGGTTTCTGAGGCTGTAAATCTTTACGGGAACAGAAAGCCTCATCTTTCTCCCATGAAACAGCTCGTAGTTTCGAACTTCTGATCTCGCAGTTTGCAGCCCGATTCGTAACCACTACGCTACCAGAGCTCCTTACATTTATAGATATTATGTTGTTATTTAGGGCTGTCAAGTCAGTTCTGACTCATAGGGACCCTGTATAGGGTTTCAAAGGAGCAGCTGGTGGGTTTGAACCACCAACATTGTGGTTAGCAGTCCAATGCTTATCCTACAATGCCACACCTGCATAGATACTATTGCTGTTGTTATTTAGTGCTGTTGAGTTGATTCCGCCTCATAGCAATCCTGTATAAAGTTTCCAAGGATCGGCTGGTGAGTTTGAACTGCCGATCTTGTGGTTCGAACTGACTTTGCTGTCCAGTGCTTTAACCCACAGCGTCACACCAGGACTCCATTGATACTATACATATGTGTGATTTTTTTTTTTTTTTTTAAGGTACATAGATAACAAAGCCATTGAACCTGTTACTTGAGTTACAATAAATCTGAACTTGACATTTAGAAAGAAATCCGTAAAGACTAAGGAATTGTTAAGAGCAGAGGACAGCAGAGAGACGTGACAGTTAAATGCAATGTGGTATCCTGGAGCAGAAAGAGGATACTTATGGGGAAATTGGTGGCATGCCAATGAAGTCTAGAGTTCAGGTAATAATCAAAGCAGACAAACAAATAAATTAACGCATTCCATTTCTGTAAGCTTAGCATAAAAATGTCTATTAATAATACAACAAATGGCCATGAAATATTGATAAACAAACATTGAGGACAGCAAGAGTTTACCGATTCCATACTAAATAAGAAGCATGAAACTTTGAGATAGAAGTTGGAACCATCTAGAACAGGGACATTTTCATGAAAAGCAAGCTATAAATGGAAGGACATGACCACATTATCTGTTACCAGCCAGACTTCTGAAATGTGCAGAGAAAAAAAATTCATTTTAACCTTTCAATCACAGTAGGTTAATACTTTTCTCATGCAGATATTCAGGGCTTTTTACTCTAACTTATATCTGGACATTTTACATTTGCACTTAGGTTTCCTTACCCTCCTTCAAAAATCTTGATTCGGATTGGCTCAGTTTGTTTGGATCCGATCTCTTTATCTCCATGATTATCTCCTTTCCCTCTGTCCTTTAACATATTTCCCACTAGTTTCCTCTCTAGTTTGCTGCCAAATAAAAATGATGCATCAGGTTTCATCTGTAGAACAAAAAGAGAGAAACATTTCCCATGCTTTCACTAAGATAAAGAGGACCACTCCCTATTCTTCAACCAGTTCTGAAAATAAACCCAAATTGCATGCTAAAAGCTATATTCTGATTACATAAAATCAGGGACACTTGGTATACAATTAGAAAATGACAATTTCCATAGAATAAACTTCACAATTTCATTTAAAAGATAGCCAGATAGCACTTACTATGGGAGTGCTAATAAACACATAAATGACGTTTTATATCCTGAAGTAACAATGAAAATAATCCATATTGTTTAAGGACATAGTCCCCCAAATTATTTACAGGAAAATGGTCATTGAAATAAGTCATCAAGTATATTTTTAAATCCTCCAGTTGCATCATTAATAATTTAGCATATACTGCCAAGTATCTCTTAGTCATATTTGTATCATTTCGAAAGATAAGGTAAAAGCTGTTCATGTAGGCACGAATCAGTTTAATAACTTGGCAAAGAGTCGGTTTTAAAATATATATATATATATAGTAAATAAATGTGAGAGAAGAGTAACACCAAAGAGAGTAACTCTTTGAAATTCACAAAGCCCAGTTTTAACACCCTTCATGGTTCCTTTCTGATCTGTCTTTTCAGTATCCACCCCTGGTCTACATGCCTATTTCACTATTCCCTGAACCCCTAAAATACAATAATAAAATAAAATCCATTTGCTTGGTGACTAGGACAGGTCAGAAAGACAGAAACCCAAAGGCATGAAGCTCAGTGGTAGAATTTCCTGGCTGCCTCAGGGGCTTCGTAACTATAGGCACACTCAATGGTCTCTTTCACCCAGTGCAAGGGTGCTACTGAAATCCCCCAACTCTGACCTGAAGATTTTATTGGTAGGTAGAATTTATAGGTAGAATCCACCATGGATTCTGTTTGGCAATCAAATCCATGACCCACTATAATTTCTAAAAGAGCATTTGTTACCTGAGCAAACTGTTTCCAAGCACTTGATGATGTCAGCTTGCCAGTTCCAGGTCTATGCATAGCAGCCAGAGTATAAATCTCTGCGGTGATTTTTTGCTTGGATCTCAGAAGAGCCAGCGTGGTCTTGGTGTTCAGTCCCGATGGGTTTGGGTTACAGGAACTAATGCACCATGAAGCGTAGACTGAGGATTTGAAGGTGGCCTGTTGCACATAATTGGGTTTTGTATAATTCAAGAAGCACCAACTCACAGTGGTTGTTGTCCGCAGACTGGGGAACTGAAGAATTTGCTGGAAATCTGCCACGTCCGTGAAAAGAAGAGTTGAGTTTGCCACTTTCCCACTTGGGTCAGATGCCATCTGGACCAGCATACCAACAGGCATCTTCTGGCCCTTGCCTTGACCTTCAGGATGACTGTCCCCTGGTGGCAATGAAGAACTCTGTGGGCTCATACTCATGTCAGATGCTGTCTCATCAATATCTAACTCATCTGATGATTCTCTGCTTTCAGAAGGCCCACTGGACCTCTGCCCTGGAGGCGGGCCCCTGGAGCCAGAAAGCATCTCCCTGCTGGGTGGGAATGGCTCCCTCGAGGGAGTGCCAACAGATGGGTGGTCTTGAGATGAGGAGGGTGATAGTGAGGAGAAGGAAGATGATCTTGACTGTGAGCCATCCTTCGGCTCAGAAGCGCAGCCTTGCCGAACCAACTGTGGCTTCTGTGGGCGAGAGAGATCCTTTTTGATGTCAGAGTTGGTTAGCTCCACAGCACTGAGCTCCTCAACAATCTGTCCGTACATCTTTTCCTCTTTCACCCGTTTCTGCTGCTTTGTTTCCATGAAGAGTTCTAAGCTGCTGGCTGGAGAAAGCATGCGCTTGCTACCTCCAAGGGTGGCGACACTATCAGAGGTAGAAGGTAAACATAACGGGATTGAGGATTCTAAGCCAAGGGGTAAGGTCTGAGGTACTTTCCAAATGGGATATTTTTCCAAGCCTGCATGCTGCCCTAACACCTGCGCAATGTTAAACCCTATTCCTTGCATGGCTGCGCTGGTTACCAGTGTTCTTTGTGTCATATTCTCATCAACTTTGCATATGACAATTGCAGGACTGTTCTGCCCAAGTATCTGAGAAATGCTTGTGTACATGACACTCCCATAGGATGGTACATGAGTCTGGATTCTAACAGGAACCACTGTTCCTGGTAAGGACTGTAAAGGTGCAGCATTTGCCGAGGCAAAATCTTCTTGGAAAAGCTGCTCGGAGGGAGTATCCATTGACTTAGTGCTTGAGTCTGAGGGCAACTTTGGAAGAAGGCTCTTTGAGTGTGGCCCTGATGTTCCTGAATAACATGGGTATGTTTGCTCTTTTGCGTGTGCATAATCAGCAGTTTTCTTTCCAGTGTGCTCTGAAACGTGCTCTAAGGGGTAGGTAGAATGAATTTCTGACTGGAAAGAAGGCTTGCCGTAGCTCTTCTGAGGGTGTGGAGCAAAGGGAGATGGGAAATGGGCCTGCCACCAGGGAGGCTGCTGAGCTGGCAGATGAACCATACAGACAGTGGGATGCTGAAACTGAAACAAAGCATTCTGAAGCGGAGAAAATGGAATCGTCTCTTGATGGGGAAATAAATGTGGCTGTTCACCTAAGTGCTTGCTGCCAATATAAGATGTGGGTTGTATCAAGGGGTTTCTCAAAGAATCCGGACTGTCAATGTGCATGATCTGTTGTTGAGCCAGGTGGAGGGACCCAGTACTCAGTTGGCCACTAGGCCCCACGACCTGCTTTCCAGGGTCATCCGCTTGCAGGGGAGGAAGCAGAGCAGATGGACCGTGGTGCCACACAGACCTGAGGCCTGCGTGCAGTTGCTCCATCTGCTCCTGCTTCACACTCTGATCCAAGCCAGCATCACCCTGGGCAATCTCTGGAGAACCACTGAAGGAAGCCTGCCGAACCAAGAAGCATTTCTTCCTCTCTCGTGATGGTGATAATGTTGAGGCTGACCCCCCTCCCACAGGAGCATGAGACAAGTTTCCATAATCAAATGATTTGCTCCTAATTTCAGGGACTTCCGTGGGGTGAGGGCAAGGCATCTGCTCAGATGAACAACGCCGCATCTCTTTCTGGTGGTGATGACCAGGGACAGACAGAGAGTATGAGCCAGCAGGGACGGTCAGAAACTCAGAATGCTTCCCGAATTCATCCTGCCTCGGAGGTGCCACAAGCTTAATGGTTTCGTCTCTTTCAAAAGACATTGAAAAACTGGAGCAATGGGATAAGTTGCTATCTTGACTGGGGCTTCGAGAGAGGCCGGTTCCTGTGGACTCAAAGCTGGACTCCCCAGAGGAGTGTTCCATATCTGCAAGGCGCAAACGCTTCTTTTTAGGTGGCAACTTTTCAGCCGGGAGCTGGGAAAGGGTCTCACTTCTCTGGGGCCACTGAAATTCCTCCACAGGCTTTTCTGGTTCCTTACTCTGTGCTTCTTTCTCCTTCTCTGGTTTGTCAGGCTCTTCTGTCACACGGATCTCAGGGACTTGAATATTGTGCTGGCGAACCAACCTGGGCTGTGCATGATAGGACTGATGCGGTACCTGCTGAGAAGGGGATGGCTTCCCCCCACTTTCTGCACTGTCCCCCTGTGCAGCCCACTGTGGACTCACTGGGGCTTCTGAAAGCTCACTGTCACAAGTCTCAGAAGGTGAAGAGGCTTTATCTTGTGCAGAAGTCACAAGTTCCGCAGACTCAGATCTTTCAAACGAATTGGGTCGGCTCAGCGAGTTTGTGTGCTGAATCACAGAAATCACATTTCCAGGAGGTTTCCTGCCCCCCAAGTCTGACATCTTGTCTGAGTCAGTGGCTAAGGGTGACTCCTCTGACCCAAGAGATGCACTTCCAGATTGCAGTTGGGGTCGGCATGGGTCAAAGCGTTCCCCGTGACCATGAGCAGGGTTCTCATGTCCAATCATGGCAAATCCACTCCTCACGCCCTCCTGCATCTGCAATTTAGGGTCATACTCTGAAGTCATTAAGCCCATGGGAGTGCTTACAACGCTGCTGCAAATCATGGGGGTGTCTTCCTCGTCTCCTACACTCTTCTCTTTCCGGCGTTTTCTGTTTTCACATGTAGTTCCAAACATGGTTGGCACTCCCTGCAGTGGTACCGATGGATCCATAAAATACTCTCCGCCATGTTTTAAAGAACTTAAGCAGGAAATGTCCCTGTAGCTTTGCTTTGGTGTTTCAGAGTCTTCCCACTTCTTGTAGGGTTTCTGACCTATATCATAGTCATACCCAACCCTATCCCCAGAAAAAAATTTCTTTTCCTTCAGTGATGAACCTGTGATGCCTTTTGACATTCTAACATGATGCTCTACCTCCACATGCCCCTCCTGTACTGACGGCAGCTCAAATGCTGCCTGTCTTCTTAACATACGCTGAGGTGGTATTCCTACAGTCCCTGGATAGAATACATCATCCGAACCAGTCATTCTTTCATCAAATGAGTGACTTCCTCTCAAAGAAGGGGGAATACTTAAATTAGTTGCTGAAGAAGTTGGCATTGAGTTGCTTCTAATAAGGGGTGAAGAGTCTACAGGAGCATCTAAGAGGACTGGGTTGCTGCCTTGGAAATTTGCTGAATAAAATTTTCCTTCATTCCTGACAGATGATACCATCGGCTGGGGTTGTCTGGACTCACTATTGTATTTAGTGGATTTCAGCATGCCCGTTTGACTGGGGTCAATGTCTCCTTTGCCTGGAATCAGTTGTGATACAGGATCTTCAAACATCTTGACATCTAACCTGGTGTTTATGTGAGGTAATGATTCCATCATGCCCTTCCTACCCATTGTGGTGCCCTCCTGACTTGTGGGTGTAACACTGAGTGCATTTCTTGGACTAAGCCGGCAATATTTTCCAAAGATGATTTCTTCATAAGACTTTGCATTTGTATTTGGAGGGCTTATTTGCTGCTCTGCACTTTCTGAGCGAGAAAAGTATCCCGAATCAGTGCTTCCTTTACTATGCGGGCTCAGAAGGTTTACAGATGGCTCAGAATCGTGTCCTTTTTTCTCTGACAGTCTTAGTGCAAGTTTCTGCTTAACCGTGTGAGAGTCATCAGCTTTAGCATTTAAAGATGGATTTGGTAGCATATCAGAGCCAATATACTGAGAACTTTCATTAGGCAATGGAATCCCACTTTTTGGGATAATCAGAATCGGCACCTTTATGGGACCTCCTAAAGACTCTTCCAATGACCCATGATAGCTGCCTCTGCCAGCAATATCCAATGGGATTGGTGGGCAGGGGCTCATTTTCTCAGAAGACTCAACAAATAATGAATTCTCCTCATCTGTGTCTGTACTCTGCTCACCATCTGAATGTATTTCTGCTTCGACATCAATAAAACCAGCCTCTAGGTCCAATTTAGATACCGCTGACTCGGTGAAAGGTACTAACCCAGCCTTAATTGCATGAGCATGGGACTTCCTGTGCTTGTACAAATTGCTTTTTGTCTTGAAAGAGAAACCACAAGGTATACATGGATATGGCCGCTCACCAGTATGGGATCTGATATGCTTTTTCAGTACGCTTGGTTTGGCACATGCCCTACTGCAGTAAGGGCAAATGTATTTGCCGGGCTTTTTGGGTTTGTGCTCTTTCTTGTGAGCATCTTCAGACTGGTCGATACTTTTCTGGGAGTATTGGCTATAAGCAGGGTTCAGACTTGAAATCTTTTTTCTGTGATAGCCACCACTGTGGCCATGTAGAGGAAAAGGAAATAAGTCCTCAGAGGCAACAGATTGCAAATGGCCAGGAAAGAGCCACGGAGGGCCTTCTAGGCTCTGATGGAGCTTGTTGCTGTGCATGACCCCCTGTGGCAAAGAGTGCTGAGGAAAAGGGAGTGAGTGTTGGCAGGAATAAGGATTCGGATGGTGAGGTGGATATTGCTTCTCTGGGACTTGCTGGACCACTTCATTGGGTGATGCCAGTTTCCCAGAACCAAACAGTTGTGCTGATGCTGTGTTTCCGATTTGCTCGGGATCGATTTGTGTTTGCCTCTGTCCTTCTTGACTGCCAAAAGTGCTCATCTTAACAGCCGATGGCTCCTGTCTCCATCTACCTGAAGCTATATCAGAGTCTCCAGACCTTGAGGTAGCTCTTTGTCCTATAGCTGGGTCCCCAGTGTCCATGTTGTTACACAAGGTCTTAAGTGCTAGTTCACATGAAAGCCATGCAGATTCATGCAGTGGATCCAAAGTCGTGCGCTATCAAAGCTTGGTTGCTTCCATGTTCCAGGGTATCTGCAAACTTGCTGATTGTTCTTTCTCTTTGTAACCGTCCACACCCACTCCGTAGTCTATGGGCATTAGATGATGATGTCCTGGGACCAGGGTTATAACACAGTTCTTTCCATTACAGAAGTGCTCATCTGAAAGTCAAGTGCAAATCAATCAAGTTTTCTTATGGCATTTGAATATTTTTGACCAGGATGAAATTGGGATGATGAATAGTCTAGGAGAAATTTTGCCCATCAACTAGAGCAAAGTTTGATTGCAGGTTTCACTAAGATGCAATGACCTGAAGAAAAGAAAAACACAGAGATTGTCATTACAGTCATCAAACAAGACTTCAAAATCAATCATTAACAACCAGCCAGAAATTGGATAAACTGAACTTTTCATTTTTCGTCAAAAATTGTTTTTGTAGCTATTGCATCTGTTACATGAATGTAGTGTGATTTTTGTGTCAGTTGAGTTGATTCTGACTCACAGGGATGCTATAGGACAGACTATAACTGCCCCATAGAATTTCCTAGGCTGAAGTCTATACAGGAGCAGACTTCGGAGTCTTTTTGCCCACAGAGTGGGTGTTGTGTTTGAATTGCCAAGCTTTCAGTCAGCAACTAAGTGTGCCACTGGAGTGCCGAGTTAATTACACTACAAGATACTGATTTCAAACCAAGCATTAAATCATATGTATAAATCTCTTCAAAGTTTCTTCTAAATTTGGTTAGCTAACTAAAGGAAACTTTCTCTAAAAAGAATTTTAAAAATATTAAAAACTGCACTAAAATACATTTAGGGCTATTTCTAACCAAGCTTTATAACTTGCATGGTAAAGACACTACATTTTCTAGCTTAAAGGTAGTGAATAATGAAAAAGTAGTACTAGATCAGGGCTACGGAATCAAAGATTATTAGATTATTACATCAAGGATTTTGGAAAAGGCAGAAGGAAGCATCTAAACAAAACAATTCTAAAATCTCCATAATGTAGTAGGAAAACAAACATATCTAAAGGGACAGTATAAAAGTGAAATGCTTACCTGAACGGTCTAGAGTTCTCATGGGCATGATTGTCCTGACGTTTCCTGGCAAGAAAATAAATGCAATGAAGAGAAATCACTCATTAAGAAATTGTTCATTACTAGATATATCAGGGTAAGTCAAAAAGTACTACAACAAAAATCATAGTTAATTTTATCAAGCAAAAATATCAAATTGTGAACCCATAGTTTCTCCATATATCCTCCATCTAGATCTGTACATACTTTTGAAGGTGGCATTTTCATCTCTCTAAGCCTTCCCAGAATATTTCTGGTCTCTGCAGTATATCCTCCATCTAGATCAGTACATACTTTTGAAGGTGGCATTTTCATCTCTCTAAGCCTTCCCAGAATAATTCTGGTCTCTGCAGTATACCCTCCATCTAGATCTGTACATACTTTTGAAGGTGGCATTTTCATCTCTCTAAGCCTTCCCTGGATAATTCTGGTCTCTGCAGTACACACCACATCAAAATGGCAGCTTGGCATCCTAGAGGGACTCAGATTTTGTCCCTTTTCAAAGATTGGGAAACAAAAATATGCCTTAAGGGACAAGATCATGGTTGTATGGTAGATGGGTAAAAGTTTCCCAATGAAATATTCACAGGACAGCCCTGCTATCCCTTGAAGAATGAATAGGTATATTGATGTAATGGAAAAAAAGAATAAAAAGATTTCTGAATAAGGCCCTGTAATTGTCCTGTGTCCTTAAAGTAAGTATTATCATGATCACCCCTATGGAAGAATGAAAAGTAGTCACCATAAATTTCTGAGCTGACCTCTCTACCTTGAATTTAACTGGTCAAGAGATCCCTTAAAATCAATTGTGTTGATTGGAGATTTTTTTAAGGCCTCCTATTGAGCTGAACCACCACTCATATGTCAATTTGTTGTACTTTTGTGGCACGCATGTTGCTATGATTCTGGAAGCTATGCCACTGGTATTATAAATACCCATAGGGTCACCCACGATGGACAGGTTTCAGCTGATCTTCCAGACTAAAACAGACTAGGAAGAAGAAGAGACAGACTACATCTAAATATTAAGTTACTGAAACATTATGAATAGCAGTAGAACACTGTCTCAGCACCAGAATATTGAATACTGAAACATGATGAAGAGCATCAGAATATTGTCAGAAATAGTGTGGGAAGATGAGCCCCTCAGGCTGGAAGGTACTAAAAATAATATTGAGGAAGAGCACCGTCCCCAAAGTAGAGTTTGTCAACATCCCACCAATGGAGTGAAGGTTTTGGGACCTTCATTTGATGATGGGGCACAACTCAAAAGGAGGAGAAACAGCAGTAAACATTCCCTAGTAATCAAAACACAGAATGTACAAAGAATGAAACAAGAAAAATTGGAAGTTTAAACAAATGAAATGGAATGCATACACCACATGGTATCCTAGGCATTAGTGAGCTGAAATGGACTGGTATTGGCCATTTTAAATCTGATAATCTCATGGTTTACTATGCCAGGAATGACAAATTGAAGAGGCATGGCATCACGTTCATCATCAAAAAGAACAATTCAAGATCTATCTTGAAGTACAACGCTGTCAATGACAGGATAATATCCATATACCTACAAGGAAGGCCAGTTAATACAACTACAACATAAATTTACGCATAAACCATTAAAGCAAGTGATTATTAAGTAGAAAAATTCTGCAAATATTTCCAGTATGAAATTGATCAAACACACAATCAAGATGTATTAATAATTACTGGCAATTGGAATGCAAAAGTTGGAAACAAAGAGGAAGGATCAGTCATTGGAAAATAATGGCCTTGGCGATATAAATGATGCTGGAGCTCACATAATAGAATTTCGTAAGATCAATAGATGATTTGTTGCCAATACCTATTTTAAATAATATAAAAGATACACTTGTTTCTCACCAGATAGAATACACATAAATAAAATTGACTAAAACTATGGATAGAGGTGGTAGAAAAGATCCATATCATCAGCCAAAATGAGGCCAGAGGCAGACTATGTATGCAACAGACCATCAACTGCTCATATGCAAGTTCAGGTTGAAGCTGAAAAATTAAAACAAGCCCATGAGAGCCAAAATATGACCTTGAACATATTTCATCTGAAGTTAGAGATCATATCAAGAACAGATTTAATGTACTAGATACTCAAGACTGACGACCAGAAGAGTTATGGGATGACATCAAGAACATCATACAGGAAGAAAGCAAAAGATGATAAATAATACAACAAAGAAGGGAAAGACAAAATGGATGTCAGAAGAGACTCTGAAACATGCTCTCCAGCATAGAGATGGTAAATCCAGTGGAAGAAATAAGAAGGTAAAAGAACTGAACAGAAAATTTCAAAGGGAAGCTTGAGAAAACAAAGTCAAATATTATAAACAAATGTGCAAAGACCTAGAGTTAGAAAACCAAGAGGGAAGAACACAGCCAGCATTTCTCAACTTGAGGGAACTGAAGAAAAAAAAATCAAACATCGACCTCCAATATTCAAGGATTCTATGGGTTAAATATTGAATGATGTAAAAAACATCAAAAGAAGATTCAAGGAATACACAAAGTCACTGTACCAAAAAGAAATGGTTGATGTTCATCCATTTCAAGATGGTCAATGTTCAACCATTTCAAGATGTAACATGTGATCAAGAACCAATGATACTGAAGTAGTAAGTCCAAGGTTCACTGAAGACACTGGCAAAGAACAAGGCTCTGCTGCAGGAATTGCTGGAATACAAATTGAAATCTTTCAACAAACAGATGCAGAATTGGAGGCACTCACTCATCTATGCCAAGAAACTTGGAGGACAACTACCTGGCCAACTCACTGGAAGAGATCCATATTTGTTCCCATTCCAAAGAGAGGTGACCCAATGGAATGTGGAAATCATTGGACAATATCATTCATTTTTAATGTAATTAAAATCTTGCTAAACATAATTTAAATCGGCTGCAACAGTACATCTGGGAACTACCAAAGGTTCAAGATGGATACAGATGAGGATTTGGAAGGAGGGATATCATTACTGACATCAGATGGATCTTGACTGATAGCAGAGAATACAAAAAATATGTTTGCTTGTGCTTTACTGACTTATGCAAATTATTTTGATTGTATGGATCATGACAAGTTATGGATAACATTGTGGAGAATGAGTATGCCTGAACATTTAATTGTGCTCCTAAGGAACATGTATATAGAAACAATAGAACAAGGGGACACTGAATTGTTTAAAATCAGGAAAGGTATGTGCCAAGCGTTTTATTCTTTCACCATACTTATTCAGTCTGTATGCTGAAAAATAATCCAAGAAGCTGGATTATATGAATAAGAATGTGGCATCAGAATTGGAGGATGATTCATTAGCAATCTGTGATATGCAGATGACACAACCTTGCTTGCTGGAAGCGAAGAGGACTTAAAATATTTACTGATGGTTGCAGCTCAACGTAAAGAAAACAAAAATACTCACCATTGGACCAATAAATAACATCAAGATAAATGGAAGAGATTGAAGTTGTCAAAGACTTTGTTTTGCTTGGATCAACCATCAACACTCAAGGAAGAACCAATCAAGAAATCAAACAATTTATCGCATTAGCAAATCTGATGTATAAGACCTCTTTAAAGTTTTTAAGGGCAAAGATGTCACTTTGAGGAATATGGTGAGCTTGATCCAAGCTAGTGTATTTTCAATAGCCTCATGTGCATGTGAAAGTTGGACAGTGAATAAGGAAGACCATAGCAGAATTGATGCATTTGAGTTATGGAGTTGGAGGAGAATATTAAAAGTACAATGGCTGCCAAATACGAGCAAGCAAATCTGTGTTGGAAGAAGAGCAGTCAAAATGCTCCTTAGAAGTCAGAATGGCCAGACTTCATCTCTCACACTTCATATCATATCATCAGGAGAGACCAGTACCTGAAGAAGGACATCATGCTTGGTAAAGGGGAGGGTTA